GCCAGACCTCCTGAAACCTCGTTAGCTTCTCTCCCAGGAAATCTGGGAGCTGGCACCTGCTGCAGGAGCAGCTGCTCTGCCCCGTCCTACAGATGGTTTGGGGAGAGGAAATCAAATCCCTGCCACCCTCAGACCTGTCATGAAAACGGTGCAAACAACCCTGAACTGCTTGAAAGGCTCTCCAGGACTGGACTTGGCTTTGTAGGGACACAGAGGCTCAAATCCAGGTGGATCCAGGAGTTCCCGACCACAGGAGCCAAGGCCACCCTTCCTGAGCTGATCTTCCATCCTACCTTGGTGTAAAAATACCACCCAGAGAAATGGTTTATATTTGTACATCTGTAGATAAAACAGCTCTAAAAATACTTTATAGAGGGAGATAATATCTATTTAAATTATCTGTAAAAATAGTTTATGTAACGGGAGAATATCAATGTAAATTATCTATGAAAATAGTTTATATAAGGGGATAATATCGATGCAAACTATATATAAAAGTTTATATAAAGAGAGAATATCTATGTAAACTATATATAAAAATAGTTTATATCAAGAGAATATCAATGTAAGTCATATATAAAAATAGCTGATGTGAAGAGAAAATACATAAATTACTTATAAAAATAGCTGATATAAAGAGAAAACATCTATTTAGAATATATATTAAAATAGTTAATATAAAGAGCAAATTTTTATCTAAACTATATATATAAACTATATATAAAATATAGAATAATTATTCAAACTATATCTAAAATAGTTTTCATAAAGAGAGAACATCTATGTAAATTATATATAAAAGTAGTTTATATAAAAAGAGAATATCTACATAAAATATATATAAAAGTTTATATCTAGAGAAAATATATATAAAGAGAAAATTTCTATTTAAACTATCTATAAAAATAGTTTAGATAAAGAGAGAACATCTATGTAAATTAGATATAAATATATAATTAGGGAATATAATGATATATATATAAAGATATAATAAACTATATATAGCTTACATAGAGAAAACTATTCTGACTACTGAATATACACTGAATTTAAGTATCTGAAAACATGAGACTTAAGCAGGAATGCTGATTTATAAAAGATTTCAACAGGAAAATGCTTCAGTGATGCAGCAGGAGTTCAGGTGGATATATGGGATTCTGAAAGGCTGCTGGAAGTTAAATGGGGTTAAAGGCTTGGCAGGTTGGAGTTCTGGAGCACAGGTTGGTTGAATCACATCAGCAAGGTCTGAAAGTGTTCTGTCCACTAGAACTTCAAAAAAGAACCCGATTCCTACAGTTCCTGTGATGCATCTACATCTCAAAAATACATAATTTACGGATTCATCTGCTTAGAGATCCATTCTTTCCCACATTTTGTACACAAAAATGACTGTACCCCGTGCAATTCTGCTCAGTTTCCAGCAGATCTCTCATTTGAGAAGAGCTGAGAAAAATCGGTGGTTGCTGCTGGTGCCGCACACCCGAGCAGATGTTTGCCATGCACTCCTGCACATCCTGCCATGGAAACTTGGAGTTGTCAGCGGTGATTGATCATCTCTGTGCTGCTCTCCAAATGTGCCTTTGCTGCCTGTGCTGCTGCTCTTGGAAGAGTGGCCTTCAAGCCTGGAAACCTTTAGCAGGTGAGATAATTCCCTTCACGATGAAGTGACTTCTTCTCCAACCAGGTCATAAGGACCTAGAATAAAAGGCCCAAGGAATTAGAGCTGCCCTTCCTTCCTCTTTCCATCTGTCCCATCCTGTCTCCAACAGACATTTGGTTCCATCCCATAAAGACCAGTTCCTCTTGCAAAAGTTCAGACCCAACAGGGCGAACTTAAGCCCCAGTTATCTTATGCCCCTGGGCCATCTCCTTGTCACTCCCACTTTTTAAATCCTAGAAATATTACACAGTGAGACAAAAAGTTTAGGAGAAAAAAAAGGTAGAAACATAACTAAAACATGAATGAAAAATAGACACAGTTACATCACAATATAAACATGGAATCACAGAATGGTTTGGGACCATAAAGATCAAAATCTGCTGAGGGAGAAGTCATTGCCTGTGGAAAAGGGAAGGCCACGTCCTCCTCTGCTGCTGCTCAGGAGAAAAATCTGGGCAAGAGATGAAATATAGCCTATTCTTGATTTCTGTCAGCACCAGATTACTCCTCTTTGTTGTTTTTATTTCATTTGCTTTTTTTCCCCCTTTACTTCTGCACAATTTTCTTCTCTCAGCTGTTATATTTCCAAGTTAAAACACAGAACATCAGATTTCCATCAGCAGCTATTTAAGCACCTCCCAGATGCCAGGATCCCACTGACACCACCAGTATTTAATTTACACTCAGCACCCTTAAGCCTCACCAATACCTTTGTCCTTGCCTGGGCAACTCACCACTCATTAAATCAAGGTCTCCATAACTAAATAGACACGAGCTCAGTGTGGATATGAGCTAAATTACTTGAGGAGATATAAGAAATCCAAGAAAAAGCAGATAATTGGACCTAAATCCCACAAGGATGTATTACAGCCCTCAACATTCAGCTACTTCCTGCTCTTTTTGAAATAAAAAAAAATTAAATTTGACTTACTTACAAAGCTATTCCGCTCTTGTATAGATTTTTGTGGTAGGAGAATTTACAGCTGTATTTAACCACGCTTTTATGAGATCATTAAGCTGCCTGACAATTATTAGGTTGTAGGTGGTGGTTGATTTTTTAAAGTGCTTTGCATAATCACAATAAACATAAAGAATATCCTCACCAAAGCACTGCCCTGTGTTATAAAGAGCATCTTGCTGCCCTCTGGGTGCTGGAGAGAGATTGCAAGGCACAGGCATTATATTTTCAACATATTTTCATAGAAAGCCAGGTATGTGTTTGTCCATATTTCATATATTTCATCCAGTTGTTTCTTGCAGGGTTAAATAGGGACCTATTTCAAACTAAGCAATAAAAAGCAATAAAAAATTCCTCTTCTTCAGGAATTAGAAATCTAAGATCTGGATGAAGCAGTGGAAGGTGTTTGTATCAAACTTTGTGTTATTCCAACAATCTGGCAATTGCAGGGGTGCACTGGAGGGTTTAACACTAAACCATCTCATTACTGAAGGCCCCATAATATTTTGACCACTTCCCTTGTTCGCCTCTTAGAAAGGAGAGGAGAATTTGGACAATTTTGCCAAGCAAATGCTCTTCACACTGCGGAGAAATATTTTCCCTACAGGAAAAAATGGACCGTGCTTCTTTGTACAGTGAAACTTCTGGTAAAATTCCACATGGATGTGGGTGCTCCAGCCTCTCCACCACAGCTGGGGAAGGGGCTGGAGCAGCAGGAGCAGCTGAGGGAGCTGGGAGGGCTCATCCAGAATCAGATGAAATGCCTAAATATCAGGAAAACATCATAAAAATGGACACTATTAGAAGAAAAAGAATTCTTTGGCTCAGACTGAAGGAGCCATTGGCTGATAGAAGATTCCAATGAGGGGAATCTGAGGAATGGCTTCATCATTAAACATTTATGGAATAAACTTCCAGCCTCCAGCAATTTCTGGGTCAGAGAATTCCTGAACAAGAAGCTGTACCTAATATTAGCAGGCAGGTGGTATTGATTACAAGAGGAAAAAAAGAGAGCCTTTTGATATGTATTATAAGGTTTTTAATCCCTATGGGTTTTTCCCCTCCAGTCAAGGTTCATTATTTTCAAATGTATGTGCAGAAAAAAAAAAATAAATTCAGAGTAGAAGTGAAACAAAATCTCAAAGTAAGAAGCAACAATTCAGGTGAAGCAAAAAACTTTTCAGTTGGGCTGAAAACCAGCTGCTCTTTCACTCCATGGAATGCTTTCCAGGCCCATGGAGTTTAAATCCAGAGGGACTTGGTGTGAGTCCTTTGAAACATTTTCCTCCCCAGTTATAGACATGAGACACTGTCAAGGTCCAGGAAGATCCATGTCAGGCTGTTGTTATAATTTTTATATTATTATAGTTATTGTGCCACTATTTTTAGTTTCACATCTGTCACAGTCATTCACCAGCAAGGAGAAAATGGTCTAAATGTGGCACAACCTAGATAGTGGGGGAAAAGTGCCCATTTTCTGAGTTACTGGTGTCCCTAAAATAACCTCTTTCAACTATAAAATGGAATCTATTTTCCATATTGAGAAGATAATAAAAAAGTGGCTGCACCAAGTTTTCAGACCTTTCCCAAAAGTTCATTTTTGTACTAAAATTAAGTATGAGATGCTACATAAGAGAAGCATTTTTAAATTATTAATTTAAAACTACCTAGAGGTGCAAAAGGAGATTTAGAACATCAGGACTTCTGCTGACTTTTATAAAAGCTATAATAGCATTTCCTGTGACAGAAGAGGTGGCAAATTTGTGGTTTTGATTATTTAGAACCTGGTTTATATCCCAAATTATTCTGAAGCTTAACAGTAATTACATTTGGGAATTAGAGCATAGTCCCCCCCCCCCTCCCACCCACCCTGTTTGATTTGTGATATTAAAAGGAACATTTCCATGCAAGCAGAACTTCTGCAGCTCATTTTTAATAATGAATGAATTGCCCTGGAGGGCAAAACGCTTCTCACACGAATTTGGGAACCCTCATGGTTTCCCCAGGAAGCCACTCTGAGCCTGATCTCTCTGGGCACACTCGGTGGAGGAGCTTGTGGTGCCAAGGCTTTGTTCTGGCACAGGCAAAGGACTTCTCACATAAATCGCCCTTTAGGAAATAAATCCCATCAAATCGAATCAGGAGGCTCGTGAGCACCTCCTGGGGTCTCTGATCACATCCCCAGCGAGAGGGGGGAGCCAGAAAGGGCGGGTTTGATCTCCTGCAGCTGCCAGGCCTTGGCACATGCGGCTGGAATGGGAGCAGGAGGTGCCAGCCAAGGGGGCTGGGGCTGCTGGGCTCTCTGGGGCCATCCCTGAGTGCCTGTGGGGCAGCACAGGTGACAAACATGCCAAGGGATTGGCACTGACATCAGCAGGGACATTCTGTGCACATCAGGGTAACGAACTCATGAATCAACCCTTGCTTTTCCAGGCCCCTCCCTTGGACCATCCCAGCCCACAAAGAGCAGAACAGTTCCATCTGACCTCAGAAAAGCCAAGTCTGTTCTTCCAAGGTTGTCAGAATATTCCCATCCCACATCTGTGCCAGCTGGGGCTCCATAACTCCAACGTGAGCTCCATGGTCCAGCTCTCTGCTTCAGGTCTGCTCAGATATTTTCGGAGGCAGCATCTCCTCTGCCTCTCAAAGAGATTCATTTAAGAGTGGGAATGTGAGACAACAGATTCACACTGAGAGATTTCCACATGACATCTCCCCCAGATGCCAGAAACCCTTCTGGGTTGGACCATAACATTTTAATAAATCCTAAAAATCCCCTGGGTGTTCTGCTCAGCCTTACAGTGAGACAGAATAAACATTTAACACCTGGGCATGAACGCTGGATCTCAGAGTTAATTTTGTAGCAACAAACCCCCATGTTTTCCTGGTTATTATAATGTTCTCAGCCCTACAGATAAGCACATTTAAGAATTTCCTTGGAGGCAAGGAATCTATAGGTAAGGACATTTTACTCATATTTCTTTCATAATAACTCTTCTTAGTTACTTCAAGTATTTTTTTCATGGGACATTCACAAGCTAGCAAATCCTCTATAATTTAATTCCAATTAATAGTAAGATAGAGTTTACTTTATTTATTATTTTACCAGTTGGACAGCCAGTCCAATACTGCTAAAAACTAACTCCTAAATAAAAGATCCAGTGATAAATTGCTAGTTTGCAATCAATTTAGAGATCCATGTTGAAAAAAATTATATCCTTATTTAGAAGAAAAGAATAAATAGAATGTGGCTTACAAGGAGAGCTTGAGAATCAGATTTCATTTCACATTTTGTGACAAATTTACCAAGAATTAACCATCATCTTTAAACTTTACAGTAACTCAAAACAGTCCAAAGATAATGGCAATATAAATTCAGAAAGATACCCAACTGAACCTCGACAAAGAGGAACAGGAAAGGCCGTGCCATTTGATTTTCTAATCTTGTTCTCTGCCTTTCTGACAGTCAATACAACTCCTCCTTTTACTGATAAAGGTGCTCTTTTGCTCAAGATTCTGTTTCCTCCAGCTCTCTCTCTCTTCCCTGACCCAATTCTTTTATCTAAAGGAGCAGCTTTCCATCACTGTTGACTTCCCTGCTCACATATATATATATATATATATTTTATTTTGTGCTTCCTTACTAAATTATCTCTTCTGCTGAATCCAGTCCTTGAGCGAGACTTGACTAAATGACTGAAATCCACAATGTTCCAACCCAGGCAAGGAAAAGAGTCATAAAAATCAGGGAGAACAAGCAAACCCTTCCTCTTGACATATTGGCCCCGTCCTGTCTCTGCAAGCAAACAATTCACATTTCAAGACTTGAGCTGTTATCTCTAACCAAGGCTGGAGTTTGTTCCCTTGCCTATCAATCATGATTTCCACTGACAGGCTTGGACCTCGCAATTTGTGCTCTTTGGAGTCAAGGGCTCGTAGCAATCACTGAACAGAAACCTGCCTTTAAACAAGACTATTTCTGGAGAACACAAGGAAGTCAGGGCAAAGGGATCATGAAAACATACACACATACCTCGTTTAAAGGATATTTATCCATGGAAACCGCTGAAATTTAATTTCCTGTACTCTCCAAACAGCAGCTTCCAAACTTGGTCCATCCTTGGAGTTGCCAGCCCTGAGAAGTCACTGGGTCATGTTACTTTCTACAAAACAAGGACATTTCTTTTAACGTGGGCATTGCAGATCTGATCAAACAATGTCAAAAGTGAGAGACAAAAGGCTTTGATTTTGTCACAGGCTGACAAATTTTGCCATGCCAAAGTGCTTTTCAGAGTCCCCATTTATCAGTGGTTCCCACCCAGATCCCTCTTGGTTGTAATTACATTATTAATTGCAATAAAAGGAGATGTGAACTACAGCAGTCTGATCCTACAGAAATCCTTCCAACTAGGCTTTAAAGAAATTTCCTTTTTTTTTTTTTTTTTTTTGTAATTATGAAGGGATTTACCAGGAGCTGAGAAACTCTTTACCTGTTTTATTTCAAATCTGATCAGGATAAAACTTAATCCTTCAAAAATTATGCTGAAAACTGATGCGGTCTTGAATATGGTTTATAAAGGAGCAAAACCAGAACTATAATGAAATTACCAATGTAACAACTATGGAATTATATCTGATGCTTCACCAGGCTTCAGCAAAGACAAGCATATGTTTCTCCACAACTGGAATGAGCTGCTTTCGAGTCAACAGCCTTACAAATCAACAATTTGTAGCACGTTAACGATTTGTACAAAATCCCTCTTCTTCATCGTGTGCTGGTTCAGTTCTTGCTGCTTTGGAAGTTGTCTCTGGAGATGCTCTGAGGAGGAGCTGTGGGGAGGAGGAAAATGCTTCTCCCTTTCATGAAGAGTTTGCATTAATTCCCTTGGCTCATCCACTTGCTCCTCTTCCAGGCAATCAGTCCTTTGCTGTCGATCCCAACACGCTGCTGGTCAATGCCAGCTACTCCAAGTTCCATTAAAGGGATCCCACTGATTAACTTGGGAGACTTTGCAAGGCAGAAAAATGGCCTTTTTTTTCCCCCCTATAAAATTCATCACTTAAACAGAAATACTATATTACACAGCCTGAAATCTACATTTGCACAAAATTCCAAATATGAGGCTTTCCACGGGACTTCCTAAAAGGATAAAAAGATACACAAGTGTTTCTCTGTCCAAAGCATCACAATGATTTGAATCCTATCCCTCCCACCTCAATATGAAAAGGCTTCTCAAGTGAATGATGAGCAGATGGCAGATCATTGTCTCGACTGGAGACTCCTGAATTCCATTTGTCACTCGCTGAACACTGGTAAAAAAAGCACTTTTGAGCCCCAGTGAACAACCTGCACAGGTATTTGAGTAACAGCTACTGGTAAACATAATTTATACATACTCATGGTTAGTGCCTGTCGAGCCCAACAACCCAAATTTTCTCCTTTTTTTCCCCACCACTTAACCAAGGTTATGTTTGTGATACCCATTGTCTTCATGGCACAGTGACCACCAGTGGGGTGGTTTGGAGACAAACCTGCAACCCACAGAGGTGATGCTGTGGCAGAGGGTTCCTCTCAGATACTCCCTAAGAAACTCCAGTTGGATACTCCTCTTCCTCACTTCAAACACCTCCCTTAGTTCCATTTTCTCTCCTCGTTATCCCTGGTGCAGAAGGAAGTGTCTATTGCAAAGTCACCAACAGGCTGTGGGTCCACAACCTGCTGCTCACAATATGAGGGTCATGGAATCACAGAATACCCTGAGCTGGGTGGGACCCAAAAGGATCACAGAGTCCACTAGGCTGGAAAAGACCTCTGAGATCATCCAGTCCCACTCCTGGCCCTGCACACGACACCCCAATGATCCCACAGTGTCCCTGAGAGTGCTGCCCAAACATTTCCTGAGCTCTGGGCAGTGCCTCCCGTTCCCAGTGCAGAGCTCCCCATCTGCCACCAGCTGAAAGGATCAGTTAACAACAAAGTTGAATCTCACTGTGGTTATCAGAAACACTTTGTGCATCACCAGGTAAGAAATGCAGAAACCATTATTACTCCTACTTGAGACTACCAGAAACTCTTAAATCACAGCCTGTGCATGGTGGAGCTACCAACATCACCTATTTTATGCCATTTCAAAGCTCCTGGGATGCAAAAAAAAAAACCTCACAAGTTTTTGTAAGGAACTCCTCAAGCAGCAGTTTTGGGGTTTGAGGTTGGGGGGTCGTGCAAATTATCCTCTTTTCCCAGATTGTTCTATTTCCAGCTTAGCAAAAAGATTAGTGGGTTCATTGTCACAAGTGCTCCACTCTAAGCAGAAACTTTCCAAATCCTTGACACAGTATTAATCACTTATCCAGGCTTTTCTGCTATCAGAGCAGATGTCTAAAGCACAAAATCCATGCAGGGAGCCCTCAGAAGTTTGTATTGTTTCTACTGCCTGAGGGGCAGATATTTAAATTTTCTTAATATTGAGCCAACCCAGTTCTTATCACAGTTACACAAAACCAGCACATAATTCAATAGACATTGTCTGATCTAATTAATTCCATAAAAAGGCAAATTATATTTTTTTTTTTTTTTTTTTTAAATCTAGACTTAACAGATAGCCAAATGGCTACAAACCACATCAGGCTGAACGAATCTGATACCGTCTGGGATAAAAGGCACGTTGAAAAACACAAGCCGGATGCAAAGCATATTGAACAGAACAAAACAGAACAGATTTATGGGCTATAATCCACCCAAAAAAAGTCTGCTAAAATAGATCAGCTCTGTCACATAACACCCCTTTCATCTACTGTCCAGGAGCACTGCAGCACTTTGACTCATTTAGCAGACCAGTTATGTGCTTTTCCTGATTTCGTGTGGCGATGATTAAGGATGAAAAAGTCTCACAGACAGTTGGCAACAGCAATAAATAAAACAAGCTTTGCTCTGTTTTGTGCTTTACCTGTTTGCTCCAGGATTTTAAAACCCACAGGACTGACTTAGGTACAATAATTGTGGGTTTGGTTGTTTTTTTTTGGGGGATGGTGAGAAGCCTTCAGTGGTAATTTTGGGGGTTTAGATTTTTCAAGTGTTCTGAAACAGGAGAGTAAATGAAGCTTTAATAGGCTGTTATGAAGCCACTGTCAGGAGGTGTTGCATACACACTAAAATTAGTTTCTATTGAGCCTTTTTTTGTTGTTGTTGAGAATGGTCCAAAGCTGTAAGTGGAACAACAGTGAGAGGAACTGCATTAATCAAACAGCATTTGGCACAATTATTAAGCCACTTAAGGTGTTTTTTAGCTGTGCTGTTCCAGCCACTGCACCATAGGCTGTCATCAGATGGAGTAAACATCTGCTGGTTGGAGGATTATGGACCGTGTTTGCTAAATTTATAACTCTCAGACACCACTGTGAGTCACCAAGACTTGCCTTTGAGCTTAAATCAAAGCTCCAACTGGCCCCAAAAATAAAAAAACCCACCCTAATGACTGTTGGTGGTGTCACTGACACAGCTGAGCACGGCAAACAGCTCCTGCCAAACCCCCCAGCAGCCACACGCTGACCAGGGGGCAGCATCAGACACGGCACCACATTGGATTTGCTTGTCTTGGGTCCAACTGCAGAAAATAATGTTTATTCCAAGGATTTGGAGCTGAACCTGCTGATTAGGTGTGGAGCTACAACCCTAACAGGAGGTTGGAGCCAGGTGAGGGTTGGCCTTTTTTTCCCAAGGAACGAGGGATGGGATGAGAGGAAATGGCCTCAATTTGCCCCAAAGATTGGATATTTGGAAAAATGTATTCAAGCCAAAGGATTATCCAGCCCTGGAACAGGGCAGTGGTGGAGTCCCCATCCTGGGAGGGGTTTAAAGCCTGTGTGGATGTGCACTTTTAGTGATGGCCTTAGGGCTGGGGGTATGGATGGGCTCAACCTTGGAATTCTTTTCCAACCTAAATGGTTCTGTCAATGTTGTCATTGCAGCACCTCGAATTGACCCCACAGCTCACACTGACAGGACCTTCCCTGCTCCACAGAACTTGTATCACACCAATCCCAACACCACCACGGAATAAAACATCCATCACAGCCCCCGCCCTTTGTGTCCCAAGTTTTCTAGTGGAAAACAAACTGCAATATTTACAATAGTTCTCAAATCTGGATCATTGGAAACCTTCTGTCTCGCTGTTTAATCTCAGCATTTCAGAGAGCAGAAAAATCAGAAGCCTCCAAGGTCTCCTGCCTGTGTAGTTTCATTTATTTAAAAATTAATCACAGACTGAAGGAAAGAACAGTAGTTCATTCCCACAAGAACCGACTTAAATTCTGCTGCCTTCAAATTGCTTTGTTGCAATCTTTCTTTTTAATAAAATATTCACAGTGGTTTAAGTGTGACTGATGGTAGCAAGAGAGATTTATTATTATTATTATTGTTATTATTTCATTGTTATCAAATTAAAGGGCATTGGGAAACAGAAAAGGTCTTTCTTATATAGTCATACTACAGTCTTAACTTTCAGGTGTTTGCTTAGAAAACACACTCAAGGGAAACTCAAAACAAAAAGTATAAACTCTGTGACTATTTTAATTTATTTAATAAATATATTCCCTGAACCATTAATAACAAACCCTGTAAACAGTAAAGTTGTGTCAGTGTAACATAAGATTTACTCACTTCCTTCTGGTCCCACCTCTGCTCTCTGTTTACAGCTGGTGAAGTCACTGCAAGAAGAAACATCTTTCAGCTGGTTTTTGTTTTTGTGCACAGGGACACCGGTGTTGATGGAAATCCTTCCAGGAGCTCTTCCCTGAAAATCAAAAGCCACGTGTAAAGATGCTGTTCCCGTGTTTGGGAACATCTACATCACGTATTCAGGTCTGTCTGACCCAGGGGGGGAGCTGAGGTGTAAAATAAACCTTCTTCCCAAACATGTGCACAAAGTCATCTCCTGTGATGTGCTTTGGGGAGGACAGAAGGATGGTTTTTAAAAAATTTTTTCTTTTAATTTTCCATTTTTTAAGACATCCTGGGGAAAAAAACCCCAGAAATTACATCATCTTCACCGAGGAGAAATAAAAACTCAGGATTTCAAATGTCCTTTCCCACTTCCTGAAGTCACAGGAATTCACTGAAATTCACTGAAATAGCACACACAAAGCAGGAGGTAATTTATATCTGATTTAGGTTATAAAAATGGTGTAATTAACTATTGCAATTAATAGATCTATCTTAATTGCCCTTAAGACCAGAAGAGCTGAAATCACAACTTACCCAAACTTTTCTTCTGAAGATGCCGAGTGTGTTCCATTTCATGGCCTTACTGGCCCTGTCTAATCAAACTGTGGGATCAGGAGTGGTGTAAATAATATTTCCCAAATAGCCCAAAATTCTCTGTCCTACCTCAACAAAGGTGGGCACCCTTGCAACGCCCCTCGATCGATTGACTTGAACAACAGGTGAAAGAAAAGTCGATTATTTGTTTCTAGAAAAGCCACCAAGAGATGACCCAAAGGTGACCTGAGGTTTGGAAGGCCAAAAGCAGAGGTCAAGAGCCCCAAAATCAGCACTAGAAGGGAACTTCACCATCCAGCAGCCAGTTCAAATATAAAACACATCCACGACGAGCTTTCAATCTGGAGCGAAATTAATTTCTAGAGGCAACTACTAAAGGCTAATTTGAAGAACACTTTAATGTGAGAGCAACATGCTGCTTGAAGGAATTATTTATGCCAGCCAGGGTGTAAGACTGACATATTATTATTAAGCAAAAAGTTGCAGTCAAAATAAATGTCTTAAATTCTCTTGAAGTGCAAGAACAGCGTGTGCAGATCAGATGGTGCCATGAAGCCCATTTCTATAAATCAAAAGCAAAGGATGAACTGGGAATTATATCGTGTTCTAACCGATTGTGATCGAGCCCTGAACGTGCAAACAGAACCTGTTTCAAGGCAGAAACCTGGAATGAATTTGGATAGTTGGAACCTTGAGAATAAAATGCTCTTCTTTGTCTTTTCCCCATTGTGATGAATTAGGCATTGGTAAGAACAGCCTTGAGAACTAAATAAATTCATGTTGCATCTGCTTCAACAGGAAAATGAGTGTTGCTACTTTTTTAATGTCGATTTTTTTTAACAAAATGTTCAATTATATACTCAAAATGTTCAATTAGATAGTAGGCAGGATTGTAAGGCACAGCTTAAGGTGACCTCAGCCTTCCTGAGCTACGGAACTGGATAAAAATGCAGTGAGAAAAAAAAAATATAATTCAAGCAATGTACAATTTCATTAAGAGAAGGTGTGAATATGTAAAGTCCACAAGTGGCAGCTGCAAAGTATTTCCAAATAGACACTTCAAAGCCTGTAATAAGCAAAAATCCCCAATTTCTGCTGAGGATGCATTTCCATGACATTACTTACCGTGCCCAATGAGTGACTTCTGGGTTATTTGCAGCTGTTGAATCCAAAGTACAATTAACTCACACTGGACTTGAAGTGACCAATGCCCTTTGTCAAAAAGGATGGTACTTAATTTTAAGCAGCATTTTTTTATCCTCCTATATGAAATATCTTCCACTTGTCTTGACTGTCCTCTTCTTTCTTTCTGACCCACCAAAGGTCATTTGATTTGACTGTTGTTGTGGATTGTGGGTCTGGGAGATCCAGGGAAATTCAAATCCTAATACAATAGAACACCTCTAAGTCGAAATGCTACTTTATACAGCAAAATATGAACCACTCTGGGTATTGATCAGGTATTCAGACTCAGGTCAGAAATAAGAAAATAATAAGAAAAAGGTAGATTGGATATTAGGATGGAATCCTTCCCTGGGAGGGTGGGCAGGCCCTGGCACAGGTTGCCCAGAGAAGCTGTGGCTGCCCCTGGATCCCTGGAAGTGTCCAAGGCCAGGTTGGAACAGCCTGGGATAGTGGAAGATGTCCCAGCCCATGGCAGGGGGTGGGACTGGATGAGCTTTAAGGTCCCTTCCAACCCAAACCATTCTGTGATTTTATGAAAATTCTCCTTTGACTACCTTTGTTTGTTTAATATCAGGTTGTGTATTGATATATTCCCATGCCATTTCTGCTTAAGTAGTCAGAGGTTTTAAACAGAATTATAATTAAAATAACTACAGTGAGTGACTCCAAAGACTTCCAGTTTCAGAGAAAAATACTGAGGGAGGTGGAAGAAACTCTGCTGAGATTTTGAATTTCACTTCTATCCACAACACCCTCTTCTGTTTACCTCGTTGAGCGAGATCATCTCTTCTTTCCCTCATTCCAAGAGCTCCCTGTCCAGCAGGAGCCACGGCCACCAGGAAGGTTTCCAGGCAGTGAAACAGCAAACCCAAACACAGGAGAGCAAAGATTTCATCCTGCAGCCACACAGACAAGAGCAGTTGTGTCTGCATTTATTTTCTGTCTCATCCCACCCCCTTTCCCTTCTAGACTCATCAAGACATTCTGTCACTTCGCTCCTTCCAGCTTCCTGGGACATGACAACTGACATGTAGTAGATTATGGAAAACCCCAGCACAAATATTAACCTGCAGCAGCAGAGCATTAAAATGTCTCGAGCTCTCAAGAGCTGATTCTTTTTTTTGGAGAAAAATGTTTGTCCTTAACTTTAAAATACATCTCAGGTCTAGAGCTACAATATTTAGGAATAAAAAAATCACTGTTTCATGTGCATGACCCTACACAAGGAATGTCTGAAACTGCCCAACACTCATCTTGTCGATAAAATACCCCCTTTGTTTGATTCTCTTTAACACATTTTATCTTTAAGGTCCCTTCTCCAGCTCTGTGATGTGTAAAGACATAATAAAAAAACCCTCTTTGGTAGCAAATTACTCAAAAAACTTGAGCTAATAGTTAATTTTTGATGGTGGAAATGTTAATTATAGGACTGGTCTCTGAATGGTGTAAGGAACAGGCAGGGCTTTGTTCAACATGGTCATGGAAAAAATATCACAGAAACAGCACCTTCTTCTCATGGAGAAACCCTCACATTCCCATTTCCCCAGGAAATCACTTTTCCAGCTAAATCCCCAGAACATCAATATCTCCCAGGACATCATCTCAATTACACTATTTACTCTGCATATGCAAATTCAGTGTGTTTAATTACAAATATTTAGCCTATCAGGCTGTTGCTCAATTAAATATTTGAAAAAAACCTTAAATAGTCAGTTAAAGCTGAACCTGTTGTTTTAGTCCCTCCTAGGCTTAAGATAAAATATATTTTATAATTACACACTGCTGGACAGTCCAACTGTAATTTTCCTGTGCTTTCCCAGAACACCACCACAAATTTATCCACGGAAGCAGTTGAGGCATCCAAGTCTTCCTGGAAATTAATGGGAAGAAGGAGCTTCAAATACATTTGTAGCTTTGTTACAGCTTTCCTCCCCTGACTTCTGGTTCTGCGGAGAAACAAGAAAAACAACCCAGATCAGAAGGGCTGGGGAGGAACAAACAACCTTATTTAACGAGAGGCCCAAGCATTTCTCGTGTGATAAGGATTGTTCACCATCCTGCGCGTGGTTTTGGGCTGTGTTGCAACTTGAAAGGGAAAACAAAATTTTCCTAGTGTTTACTAACCAGAATAAACTCAGATAACCACGTAATTGGAGGTAAAACCAACTTCAGTAATTACAGGAAATGAAAATATGCAGAGAAATCACAGCTGAGATCCAGAGAAAAACTATGTTTGCTTTGACCAGCCATCTCTCTTACAATTATGTAGATGGAGGAGATAACCCACTCCTGGAGTTCAACAAGAGCTGGCTGTGAGGATTCCTGTGTGTGGGAAAAGCAGCTCTGATGTTTTAATCTGCCCCATCCCAAATTAAGATTCCCATGCTTGAAAGTCATTTATTTATTTCCCTCCAGTTAGGAGAGAGTTTGATCTTTGGTTACAGTGAAAAAGGACTTCTTTTAGGAGAATACAGAGAGAAGCTTGATTTCTATAATCAGAATCATGGAATCATTAAGGTTGGAAAAGACATTCAAGATCTTCAAGACCAACCTTTGACTGAAGACCACCATGCCCACTAATAATTAACAATGCTCTTCATTCCAGCATACAAATGCATGATGTGATGGTTTTAATTAATTGAAATTGGGTGAACAATGTTTAAAGTCCACGACCAGAATCGAAATTACAAGCAAGACTAAATTTCATTAAGATTTAACCTTCAATTTTAAAAAAAGCTTTAATGATGTTTTCCCCAAAATGATTAAAATGCACAAATGCCTCAAACGTGGTGGGAGTGAAAGAGAAAGTAAAAATTCCTCACATACCTGTGGTGGGTGATCTTTGCCTCCTGGCTCTGAAATCCCTGAAATCTTGTGCTTCATCTTGTGAAGATGCTGCAGAAAAAGGCAGCCCAAGCACCTCGACCTCTCTGTGCCAAAGGGAACCAGCACAGATGTTTCCCACAGATCCTGCTGTTGAGCCAAGGTAGATGTGAGGTCGTGCCTCTTCAACCCTCATCTGACCTCCTTTTTCCAGCAGTTCAGCCTCAAACACCAGTGTTCAGGATTTCAGGTCACTCAGGTGGTTCCAACAAGCTGAAAGAGCATTGACACCTTTCCACATCACTGGAGCACCAGATGTCAGGTCCCAGGTCACCAATCACCCCACACGGGACATCAGGATAAATCTGCTGCTGCAAACACTGACATCTGCTCCCTGACAGACACAGAAATAGGGGCTGTGTGGGCCCCTGGTGACAGAGCTGCTGCCAGCCTTCCATCTGGGGTGACAGCTCCAGGGTCACCTTCACCAGCAACATTTGGGGCAGACTGTGCCCTTCCTTAAAAAAAAAGAGCTCTCAACTTAGTCAGCAACACATTCCCTCCTACAGATCTGCAACTGCCTTCAAACCTTAAGTGTGTGTGGCTCACCAGAGCTGATATCCCAGAAAAAATCCCAAGCACATAAATCAGGGGGACTTGATTTCATAACATCCAGCTCTGGGGTCCCAGAACAAGATGCTGTTCAAGGTCCCTTCCAGCCCAAAACCATTCCATGATTCAAGGATACTCCTTTGCTTCTGTCCTAGGAAGGAGATGGGTTTCTCTTGTTGAACCTCCATCAGATGATTCCTGCTCATGTAGCCCATAAATCCACTCCAGACAGGTGTGGATGCGTTGCAAAATATCTCACAGGCCCCAGGTCAGAGAAGCTGAAAAACAGACACAGGTTTTGGGGATGGTTCATCATGTCAGGCAACCCATTTCCCCCAGTCACACTCAGCACATTGTGTTTAAAAGAAAAAAACATCCTCAAAATGACTACTCTGACCACCTTCTCTCCTCCTTGCTGTCCTACAGGCACCAATTCCTCTTCCACCAACCACAAAAGACAGAAAGATAAAAACCCAGGGACCAACATCGTGCTTGCCAAGCTGCTGACCCACCCTAAAGATGAAAAGCAAGGTGTTTTTTTCCTCATCAATTGCTTTGCATGGAGAACCCACAGCAAAAAAAGCTACAGGTTTGGTGCACTGCTCATGGTGTACCTGCAGATGAAGCTCTTCCTCCTGCTCTCAGGGAATACTGATGCCTGGATCTCAGGGAATATTTGAGCCCTGAAGCCTCAAAGAGGAAGAAGCTCGCAGGGAGGACACTGCTGAAAGGCTTCTTGGCTCAGTTCCCAAGGAGCTGATCTTCTGGAATAAAACAAATCTCAGTGAGGGGCAGCATTTTACACGAGGAAAACACAGGGAAGAGAGCACTGCAGAAACTGAGATTATCTTCACGTTCATAGGGAGGAAGTGCTTAAAAATGGAGTCATTAGAGGCCTCTGCATTGTACATAAACTGATCAAAGTTCCCCCGTGCACTGAGCTAATCTGTCAAGCAAAGGTCCAGAGTTAATCTCTCCTGCAAAGGGGCAGATTTCCAGCTCCCTGAGACAAACCATTCCAGGGCAAAGCTCTGCAGAGAGACGTCAACCCCCAAATCCCTTTGAAAACAGTTAAAAGCAAAGTCTCCTTACCTTGCCGGGCTCTGCACATCAGCTCTGTTAATCCTTTACCAAAGTGAAACCTTTAGAAGCCAAATTATAAATTAGCAGAACACAGTAATTTATTGTCTTATTATCAAAAACTAATGGCAGGGAGGGGGAAAAAAAAAATCAATTTGGAGAAGGTTCTTTTCTGTGGCTGACTTGCCAATTTTGCAAAACTGTAATTTCCCTTGTGGGAAATCCATTTTCTTGTGGAAATACTACTGTATGTATTGGCTGCTTTTCCATGAATTATATCCAGGCTTCTGCATAAAATACTGTCATTTTGCAGCAGCAACAGTCACAGTGGTGGATCAAATCTGATATAACCTCTTCCTCTCTGGGCTTTTAACACCACTCACCTGAGTGCTTTGCTAAGTGTGCTGAAGGTTAATCATTTAAAAGAATGATGTATTACCCCTACAGAGAAAGAGTTTTTCTCCAAACCCAAGGATTTTAAAACTTCTAAATATACAATGAATAATCTGACCTGACACACAAAAATCCTTGCATTGCCCATAAATATTATTTTCTGTACAAACTTTAAAAGCTATGATAGTTTTCTTGCTAAGCGCTTCTCTTTATTTCAGGTTTGCTTTCCTTGGCAAAAGAGGAATGTGAAGTTCACTTGGAGAAAAATATATGTCCTGGGGGCCCTC